CGACAGGGTTAAGCAGCAGCTACCGAGCCACCGGTGCTAAGCACAGCCTGGGGGCGAGAGGCTGCCATTCTCCTGCACCTGGAACAGGTGAGAATACTAAGGGATCCCAGCTGAGGAGCTCCAAGCACTACATGAACGTTATCCTTAACTACGCCAGGCTCACGGCACCCTGGGAAATGGGCGTTATCCCCACTATACAGGGGGGAAACTGAGGCTCCGTGTTGTTAAGGGCCTAGTGAAGGCTGCTACAGGGGAGCCCTCCATTGGAAGGGGGCGTTGTTTAGCACCCAACTGGGAGACCTTACATTACAGTGAATCTTTCAGCTGCGTGGTGGGATGTGTGTTCGCTGGGCCCTCCCAATGACACCTGTTCCCCAGGTGCGTCCTCCCAGCGCTGGGCAGGAGCCAGCACCTCGTTGCCTCTCTGGCCCGTCTCTGCCTGACTCATCCAGATGGCAATCAGCCAAACTACAGCTGCTTCCTGCGTTGGGGCGGAGCTAGAGACTCCACACACCTGCTCTCCCCTGCCTGCCCTTTGGCCCTGTGTGAGTTACCTGAGATGCCCTGGCAGGTCAGTATCAAAGCGGAGGATGGAACCAGAGTCCAGACTCCCAGCCATGTGCTCTAACCTCTAGGCAGGACTCCAGTGGCCAAAGCCAGGGTGGCCGGGGGGGTAGCAGGGTCTGAAGGCAGAGTTATGACATGACAAGAGATGCCCCTTTGCCCAGGCCCCAGCTGCCTGGCAGTTCCCTTAAAGCATTCTCTGCTCAACGTGGGGAGCCAGGGGTGTGATGGGGTTTGCCACAGGCCCCACGTTTCATGGAAAGGCCCCAACTCCCATGGGTCTGACCTGACACCTGCAAAGCTAGCTGGAAGGGTCCCCATTTACTTCAGGGCTGGCAACGCTGCACAGCCCTGCCACTGCATGCTCCCATGGCGACGTCAGCTCAGTGCAAGGTGCAGCGCCCTGACGAGGTGCTGGGATGCTGTGACACTGGGCCACAGGGCTTTCAACACTGTCACCTTGTCCCGGAGGGGGATGACCCTCCGTGCGAGAGATTTGCCCTAGGCAGACATCGGAAGAGATGCTCCCTGCCCCAGAGAGCTTACAGTCTAAATGTGCTGCCCTCCGTACACGTGGGGCTCTCCTGCAGACACCAGCAGCTCTCCCAGCTGAATCAAGCAGCACGCCACAGATCAGATCTGCTGTGTGCATCAAAGATGAAAATCTGTCCCTCGGATAAGACCTCAAAGATCAGGAACAGGGAGAAAATTACTCTGGAAATATAAACGGGATCCCGGCAAGACACGCTTTGTAATGTTTTCCCAAACATTCTAGCTCCCGAACATTAGTGCATGAACCTGATGCCCCCCCGCCCTTCCCAAAAACCAGAGAGGACTCCAGCTTACCGTCATAGGAGAGCACGTGGCCCTTCTTCCCTTCGTAGATGACATGTCCTTTGGTCAAGGCATCCTCTCTCGCCTTCTCTGCTCTGCCGGGGCTATCTTCTCCGATCAGTCTGGTAATGGTTCCTTTGTACAGCACTTCAGCTGGGGTGCCCTTGGAAAGCCACCAAGATCCATATTTAACAGTGCCACAAGCAATTAAGCAAGAAAGCTCTCTCACACAGGTACATTCTGTTCCAAAAGGGAGGCAGAGCACAGCTGAACTCTGCTTCCTGTCAGGGCCAATAGCGAGAAATCTGCAGCTTAATTATTGATGAGGACACGAACGCTGAGCGGTAAAAGGTACGGGATTTGTGTGAGGTTGCTGGGAAGAGACAGGGGCGAGCGCCATGCGCAGAGGACAGGCCTTGCATCCAAAGGGTGTAAAGAGACGGAGCCAGCCTGGCTTTCACTAGATACAATTACAGAGCAGCTCTGGCACCTCCACCATTGGGCAAAGCAGGAATGGAAACACCAACCCACGCTGCTTGCTCCGTCCGTGCTGCGCTTTTCAAAGTAGACTATCTGGTTTCTTTCCATCCCCTGGATTGAAGAGACAGGCACTATTACAGCTCTGCCTTCCCTTGGGACGTCTTAGTCATGGCCAACACGACTTAAGTATTTTTCTTTCCCGTGGGACTACTGTCACTGTAAACTATTTTCTCAGACTAGTATCACGGGGCACAGCTGATCACAGAACCATTGACCTTCAAAAGGGCACGCAGTCAAGCAGTCTGGGCCCAAAATGCAGGGCCATTCGTCATTCCATCACACCAGCTTTATAGACTCGAACGGGGGTTACTGGTGGAGCAGCGCAAAGAGCCAGGCTTATCGCTTTGCTTTTAAATAGAAAGAGGGGAACAGCTGCTTATGCAAACTCCTCCTCCTCCATCACTTTCTTCAAGACAGCCTAGGCCTGAGATTTGGAAAGGCATTTGGACACCCAACTCCCAGCAGAAATAATGGAACGCAGGTGTCCAAATCCCCAAGGAAGCCTTGAATATCCTCCTTCCACCCCTTTCGTCATTCAAGGTTGTTCTGGGTTTGCAAGCTGCTCACAAGAGTTGGTGCAGGAGGGAAACTGACCAATCTTGTTTCATGATCCAAGCCGGAGCGAGATGCAAGAAACAATCCAACAGCCATAAGGGTGAAATGTAAATTAGGAATACAGGGAAGCTCCCTCCCTCTGCTCCTCCAACTGTGGAGGTGAAATTCACCCCGGGGCAGAGAGCTGACACCAGCAACCTTCACGTCCCATTTACAGGGCTCAGGTGCCCAGGTCTTGCGCTGGCTCTCTGCACAAGGGGGAAAATGCTCTATACAAGTGCGGCCATGGCTGGAGCCAGGGATCTAGCTGCAGAGAATTTATCCTTTTTTTCTGTCTGGGAATTATCTGTCAACGGATTGAGATTTTGGCCTCGTTTAGTTACCTGGAATTATTTGATGAACGTTTCATTGGAACAAATTTCAGCCTGAAGGGGCGCTTGTAAATTATTTACTGGGGTGCAGTTATATCAGTATAAAGGTGCCTTATATTGGTACGACTTATTCCCCTGCGCGTATGGGACTAGCCACACTGATCTAAAGCCTCTTTATAGTGGTATAACTGAGTCCACACTAGGGCGCGTATGGCTTTATCTATATGACATGTGTATGTGGGGACAAGTTCTGTTTCCACGCTGGCCTCTTTCCCGATTTACCAAGCTGCCATCCTAGTCCCTGCTCTCTCCTGGAGCACGCGGGACAGAGTTAGCATGGTAACAATCCCTCACCGCGTGTGCCCTTGCAGCCTAGCGATCCATGCACTGGGGTGAGAAACCAGAATCAACTTGCATCCTGCTGTTCAAAGCTAAAATCCAAACACCGTTAGTCACACTGTACGAATAGGCCACGCTGAATGCTACACGATGTCTGTACTGCTGTAAGGGGTGAATAAGGAACCTGATTCTAAATGTCAGCACTTCAGAGTGATGGTGTTTGGAGGTTGCTCCAATCCGTCAGGACAGAATGTCCCATCCCCTCCCTACCCTCAACCCCTCTGTTCAATGGGTCTCTGCTCTTTGTAAGCAGTCAGAGCAGCAGTCACAGAGCTGCTGGCTGCAGAGACGAGACGGGACGTGTCAATGTGCAGGTTTCAATGCCCTGATTGTTTGCTCTGACACAGGCTCACAGAAATGCTCAGCATTGGCTTTCCCAGTGCCAGGTAAGGTTTCTTCCCGCAGCGGACGTGTTTGCAGGGGGTTTGAAAGCGAGCGATGACAGACGGCTTGGGAGCAGAGTGCACCCTATTCAAAATCCGTCTCCTGAGTGAGTAATCTGAGATCAGGGATCAGCCACAGCGCTGGGAGCTGCTACAGGAACCGGGGGCGCTGCGCTTCCCTGTCAGGGGACTCTGCAGGATGCCGTGCCGTGGGGCATCCTGGGCACTGCTCAGAGGAGATGTCAGAGCCCTTTGGCCTGCCGGGCCCAGCCGCCAGACACACTGCAAACAGGCCTAGCACGTTACAGCTGCTCCGAGAGCTACTTCACCATTGAATCAAACCAAAGGGGCAGCCTCACTTCCTGCTGCTACTTTGTTTCTAAGATGAATACAGGAATTCGATGTCAATTAACTAGCTGGCTGTGAAACAGCGTCTGATCAAATCCTGCCCTGGAACTGACATCTCTTGCATAAGCCTACTAGCCAGCGCTGTCCCTCCCACCCCCCATAGCTCTTCCAGGGGCAGGGAAGTGTATCTTTCCTTTTTGAAGCCACCCAGACAACAGGAAAAAAATCTCAGCGCTTATAAGTGGCTTTAAAGAGCTGAATGATGGCCAGATAAAAATCCCCAAGGGAAACAGATGGTTTTTAGGCTTTCCACACAGTGCTGAGCAATAACTCACACCGCAGAACTATCCCCCACTTGGCAGCTGCTCTTCTGAAGATGAATGATAAATGATTAAAAAGGCAGAGTGCGTTCAGGACAGCCCTTTGGGCAGGGCCTAGAGAACACCCTGCTACAGCAGTGGAAGGAGACTTACTGCACTGATCCCTCAACTTCATCACCCCATTCCCTTTAGCTGGCTTGGTCTCTCCCTCTCCAGCCTACTGTTCTCTTCCATTTCCTTCGCCTGCTACACAGAGTGCCAGCAAGATTAGAACCCCAGCTAATCCCCGCCCTCGCCTGGGTTCCTGAGAACAACTGGCATGGGGGAAGGGAGTTTCGAATGCAATGCCCCTTTCACCACTGGTGAAGTCTGGGTACTTCTGCTTTTCACCAGTCTTGGAGAACGGAACAAACCTGATCTTCAGCATAATCTTCCTCCAGATTGCTCCTCAGTCCTGCCCTGCAGCCCTTGCACCCCGAAGCCCCCACCTCTCCTATGCAGGTGGGGAGACAAACTGGGTGGAGCTGTGTGCAGATGCTCTGCTAGGAGGCGGTGGCGGCACCAACCCACTCCGACTCTCCTTTCTCGCCCCACCAGGATCTGAACTCAGCTCTGCAGAGGTGATAGGTCAGAGCAGGATTTGCTGGCCTGCCCCGGGGCTATTCAGGAGTTTACACCCTCTTTGCTTAGTCCTCTGAAATTCCTCCTGATGGGTCTGCCAGGAGGGGGTGCTTTGATGTCCCCTGGGCTCAGAGTACACTCCAAGTAACAACAAATTGCAATCATTTCTATACATGCCAGGAGAGGGTCTGCTCTGACAGCAACCATTCCTTCCCAGCCCACATTACAAACCAGCTGAGATCCCCCCAAGCTGTTAAGAGAAGAAACCTACGTGCGTGATGGATCCCCGATAGGTGATGGGCGATTCCGACGGAGGCCTGGCACTGGGGAGCCCCTTGCTGATGCTCCCGCCTGGGGTTGAGCCCAGTGACGCCCCTGCAAGTTACAACAAAGCAAGCAGGATTAGGTTGCCGAGAGGGGACTGCTCACCCGAAACGCTGGAGAGCTGAACAAAATCCCCGCTGGCATTCGGCACACAGCCCCCGAGCCTTCAGCACAACAGCGGGGGTGGGACCCTGGGACCCTCACTGTAGCATATCCTTCGGCAATCCCTGGTGTCAGGGGTTAAAACAGCTGGCATGTCTTGATGCAGGCCAGCATATCTTGATGCAGGCCAGTATGTTGTATAGAAGATGCACGTCCAGTAGGCTAGATCCTAAGAATCACTGCGCCCCGTTGAGTTCAGGATCAGGCCCGATCGTCTCACAAACATGATGATGGGGGAAAAAAATGGGGGAGCCGAAAAGGTTTGGGTGCTAATTCAAAGTTCTTGAGAGAATCACCTTTTGTGGGAGGCTCTCTGGTAGTGCCTGGCCCTGCTCAGCTTGGAGCTATTGGTGGAAGTAGCGCTCTGGGGCTAGTCTGAATCTTTCCTCCCCAGCTCCAAACACAAGGGCAGAGACACATGAAAAAAAGTCACAAACAGCCCCGACTCCTAAACAAACCAAGTTCTAAAGACATTTAGCTCGGGGGCTGCCTTGAGTTGGTTCCTATTTTATCTACTTTGGTCCTGAGCCAACCCATCAAACTTCCTTAATTTGGTAGAATTAATCGGGTGTTTATGAGAGACAAGAACGTACAGTTAAAACAGAGTTTTGTGCCTTTTTTTTTTTTGTCACTGCAGAAAGGAGCTTGGATTTAAAAATGAAACGCTCTCTCTCTGTGTCCCCAACAGGCACTCGTGATTCTGGAGTTCAGAATGTAATCGGTGCCATTTGATTAGCAGCTGCTTCGCTTTCTTCATGAGCAGACTGCCCTTCCAAACGCATGGGGACAAATCCCTTGGATAGAAGTTTGGGGCTCAGAGTTTTACAAGGGAATAGTGATTTCAGGTGCCCAGTCTCAAGCACTTTGAAGACTGGCTCATCTGTCCTCTGTCTCCGGTTGGGAAGCAGAAGCTGAAGGGTAACCAAAACCACTAGTCACTTTTGACAAGCTTGGCCTAGGTTGATCCCCTTCCACTTCCTGAGCCGCCTCCCCGAGAGGTACCTGGTTTCCACTGATCATCACAGCTGCCCTGCTATGTGCTTACCCCTCAGGATGGAGCTCTCTTGGGACGTCTGCATTACCAGACTTTCAGGCTGGTTGGCCTGGCTTCTAGGAGAAAGTTGTTCCTGCTTTACTCCAGGAAAAGGCACTAGAAAACATTAATCATACATGACAATGTTTGCACCGGTCAAAACCAGACAGCTCTTGTCCTGAATTGCTCTCTTGCCCTTTTTTTTTTTATTATTATTTTGCTTAGTCTTTAATTTTGTCTAGCTCGATATTCACAGTTGCTGAAAGAGACAGGGCTTAAATAACCCTAGGTCCCCGTGCAGCTGCTGCTGCTTCTGAGTAGCAGATTACACAACTATGGATGATAAAGGAAAACTCAAATTGCTCTTATCCCCTCCGCAAGGGCATCGTTCAAGGTCTCCTGGCAGGCAAGACAGCAGGGGATCCTGAAATCCACTCCTGCACGAAGCTGTACCCCCAGCCTTGCAGCAGGACCAGAGTCAAACACACAGACCGTGGCTGGATTTAATGCCAGGACTGGGTTTTTAAATCCATTGATAATTGTAGCTGTGCAAACTCAGAAGAGTACTCAGATCCCAGCTGCAGGACTTCAGAGGATTGCCCAGAAATTTCCCACCCTTTGCATAGCACTGGGCAATTGGAACTATGGGGACTGAAAGCGCAGCTGCCTTCCTGTTGACCCCTGCCATAGATGGGAGGCTGGAGCTGATGGACTAATTGTCTGATCTGCTATGGTCAGCCCGATGTTCTTAAGAGCTGAGGGACAATAACCCATCTCACAGTTCAGAGCAGCCAGGAAACAACCCTGGACAGTGACAAGCGGACTGCGGAATCCGCTCAAGAGGAAGAGGGTTGGGAATAGCCTCTAGCACTGGGCAGGCTGGACGTGCCCACGGAGAACTCTCTCTGCTGGCTTAGCACATGCCTTCTCCACTCTCTGCAGGGCTGGGCCCAGGCCTCCTCCCTCAGGACTTCAACCTCTTGCTCTGACTCTTACGAGATGTTTCCAAATCTGCAAACTGAACATTTTCCTCTCTCGCTTCAGGCCATTTACTGTTTATCCCACCAGCTGTGGCGAATGTCAATACGTTTCCTTCCATCAATCACACTGTTAGGTGGAAGGTATTTTTAGTCCGGGATCACGTCCCTGACTGAGTCTTCTATTTTCCTAGACTGTAGGAATTTAGCTCCCTCCGCCTCTCCTCTTATGCTTGGTTAATCCTTTTAGTGGTTTTGTTCCCCTTTGTGTTTGCTCTTTTACTATAGATCCTCCTCTAGCGGTGGGGGCCAATATGGCACCGACTACCCCATGTGCAATTCCCCCAGGACCAAGCAGAGTCGCATTCCTCCACCCCTAGGTTGGCATCTCTCTCTCTAAGACATACAGCTGCACGCACGCACACACAGGGAGATTCTGTTGGCCTTTCCCCAGCAGCCTGGCACTAGGTGTTTGTGAGTCGTTTGTTGATCCCTTTCTTGAAGGTGGTCTTTGTACACAGCCGTTCCCCGGGATATATCTGAGCTGTTCATTTCCTCTCCCTTGGTGCATAGCTAGCACTGACTCATCTCACACCAAGCAGGCTCTCTCCTCTTGTGTGTTACACACCCTCCTAGCTAACTCCAGCATGGCTGATTTCACTTTTCTCTTGATTGATCAAAATATATCAAACCTCATGAATGCCTGTGCCAGACCCCGCCCACCTCACCAGTGCTCCTCACTTTGGGGCCTTGTTATTCCTCATCATCAATTAATTCTTAACCCATCTATTTTTAATCTAATTTGGTTATTTATTCAGGCTCTTTACAGGTTTCTCATGCTGGACAATGGTGGTTGCCATTAAAAAGTAAGCATTTATCCGATCACAGTCTTGATGGCTATGCATTGCACTGGAACGGAACACTGACGTGAGGGGGGCAAGGCAGTACCATAGGTCCCTTTCCAACGGTAACTGCTTGTTGGGGTTGAACATCTTCTTGAAATGCACGCATGAAAATGCTGGTGTCTCCTTATGGGCCCTGATCCTGGCACCAGACCCGCAGGAACTTGAGAGCTATGATGATCCCCAAAAGCAGCTCTCTCCCCCCTTGGAAAAGTGGAATAGCATCTCCACAACTTCTCAATGCAGCTCGCAAGCACAGCGTCTCGAGAATTACAGATATCCCTGCTGCTGAGTGATGCCAGGTTGGCAAAACTGGACCAGAACCCTCCATACCCAGAGCCAGTACAGAACAGGCAGTGACAAGGTATGCTCCCACCTTGTGAGTGCCCCATCAATATGTCTCCGCCTTGAGCCCGGAGAAACCATTGAGAGAGGGTTCATTCAAGCCTCTTCTGAGATCGCCAGCGAGGAAGCCAAGTGTGTTGGCAGATTTTGTAGACAACTGCGCACTAGGATGCGAGAGGAGACCACCGCGCCATTTCCTATAGGCCATCAGACAGGAATTTCATGGTCACTGCTGGCTGGATGAACCCAGTGAACTTGCAAAGCTCTGCACCCTCCCTTCGTGTCATTCAGCTCACTGGGAACAGCCCAGCCCTGAACAAGGCCTGTTGTGTGTGTGTGTGTGTGTGTGCGTGCTCAATTCAAGGCTAACAGCAGCTCAACAGGGACAGCTCTGACCCTTCAACAAAAAGGCCAGGAGTGAACCAAGGGTCAGAGGCACAC